AAAGAGAAATTGAAACGCCATATACAGGTGCAAAAGCCCTAAGAGGAAACTGACCATTATGCATATTTGAAATGTACCTAATTATATCCTTCAACAACAACAAAAAAGGAGTACAAAGTACAGCCTAAGGGCATATATTTTAGTAAACTGTATCATTTCTTACCAACACTTAAACATAATTGTTAATTTTTCGTATGTGGCCTGAGGTTGTATATAAATATCATACACATGTTCTTTACATCTTATAAAAATAAAGCAAGAATATAAAAGTGGAACATGTTAGTAAGTTCTTTGCAAGCTAGAAATATAACGATAATTAGTATTTTGGAGATTTAGATATGTCTTGTATGCAGACATTGTAGTTACCTGTAAGAACATATTTATAGGAAATTTAATTGTTTCCATTCTTCAAAAATTTTTGTTTACTATGATTGTTTTGAGCTTTGATAAATTTAACATATATAGCATCAATAATATGGACAGAATATTTTATTTCATGTTTGTGTAAAATTTCCAGAACAACTAATGTCTTTAAATTTTTTGGATATTTATATTAACTACAACTGTGACTGGGATTAAATATTAGATGAACTCTCTCAGAGACATTACAAATTAGATATATTTTACTCAGAGAAAATTTTGACAATAAACATTTTAGAGTACCAATATTGTAAAGAAACAAATCACTATTACAGAATATTCCTAATTGCAATTGACAGATTATTTCTTTACATATACCAAAATTAATTTAATCATTTCTAGTAAGTATTTTCTAGTGTGTAGTACATAGTGCTTCTCAACAAAATGCCAACAAGCCCTTGTTTAATAATAAGCAATTACCCCAATTATATGCATGTGTTTTTCATGTTACATGATTATTACATTATACTATCTTCCTTTAGGTTGTGTAGATATTGTTTGCAGGACTGCCCTTGGACACCAAATCAAGGGGTGCAAATCTTTTCTGTAACATGATGGAGTATTTGGACTTAACATAGTCACATCCTTCAGTATACTTTAAATTTCAAAATTTCTTATAGTATCTAATACAAGTGTAAATGTTACATAAATAACCCTGTATTGTGTTGTTTAAGAAGTCGTAACAACAAAAAGCCTGCCCATATTCTGTACACGCATGTTCCTCAAGTATTTACTGTCTGCATTTGTTGCAACTTAGAGATAGGACAACCCACAACTTCTGGAAAATAAAACCCAGCTAGAAAATAATTAACCTTCAAGACAGACCAAAAGTGCCAGCCCCGCTGGGCCATCCTCGCCCCGACTGCTTGTCAGAGTGGCCACCAAGCAAGAGAATAGTGATGGCAAATTTCCCCCTTGATAAAATTCCGGGACATCTAGAAAGTCTACGCTCTCTCCCATAACTTAATATCTAGTAAATAAAAATAATTTCTTAGGGAGCAAAATCCCTGACAACAGGCACACAAAAGGTGCTGAAATCCTGCTGAAATCCTGCCTTCGTCCTGGCTGGAGCTGCCCCAGGAGCACTGCATGACTGCAGTGCAGAACCCAAGACTCATACCCAGCCTGACACACACCAAGGCAGGTATAGGACAAGAGTCCTGGGCGATGGTTACACCTTTTATGAATTAAAAACACGTTAGAGTCTTTTGGTCAACAGTTGCTAGAGCCAAATGGATATTTAATATCAGCAGACAGAACATTATGCTAAAATAAAGAGGCTCCACAGTACAGGCAGAATTCTTCCAAAGTGTTCGCCTCAACTTCTCTTTATCTAAAGGCTAGTTGCAGACATTTAGGGGAGATATTTTGATAGAATTATTTTATCATAAATTTTAAAGACAATATCGGAAGAGTCACAATTCCAGCATTTCAATTATATAAAATACTCAATAATATTCAATGATATTAAAAGTTTTGTGCAGTATTTCATACATTTAGTCTCATCATTATTATGTTACCAGTGTATTATTCTCCACTATCCTTTGGGGCTTCAGAGACGAATAATTTAGGCAGCACAGTCTGTACATACTTCTTTTGGAGATTTGCCATTCATTCTCTGAAGTCTTATAGTTTAAAAACATCTGTTTACTCTCATATCTCTAAGATATGCAAACTAAAAGCCATCTTTTACTATTGTACACAAGTTGATGAATGAAGATTTATAAAATTATGTATTAGAGCATGGATAAAATTGTGTAAAGATTGAATTATGAAAAAATATGTGCATGAAAACCAAGAAAACTGCTATCTTATACAAAGACATCGCAAAGAGCCAATTGCATATATTAGAGTGAAACTTGAAATAATGTGATCTAGAATCATATTGATATCTAAATATTATTAATACAATTAACAGGGCAAATAGAGTCCATTTAGTATTAACTCAGAATACATTGATGAATTTTCTGGATGAGGATTTTAAGTGTGCCCACCACACAGTACGTAAAACTGTATCTTGGTGTTTAAAGATGAGAAGCACTATACACAGCTAACTTGTTTAAAGTCATAGAATTACTAAGTGACAGAACCAGGATCCGATAATCAGGCCTCATTTTCTTGATATTTCCCTTTCCCTTCTGTCTTATCTGTATATATCTAAATATCTCTGCACAGCCTTCTCTGCAGACCTGGGGCAGGGGTGGTGTTGCTTCCAGGACTGTGTTCTTTCTGTGTATGTCTTACTCACTGGCTGGTAAAACAGAGTTTGCATAACTTTGAGATTTACTTTTTTCAACATTTCTTTCAAATATCTGCTTTCTTATTATTTACGAATAGGGACACATTAATTTCTTTTCAACTTACTACGTAAGTCATGCAATATAACATGGTTACAAAAGAAATACAAGGAACTTCGGACTGAAGGATGTTTCAGAAGCCACCTGACCTGTGACTATGTGATCTGATGCTCGGTAGCCTCGACAGGAGACCAAGTCCTGCCCTTTGCTACCATGGGGAGGATTAAATAAGGCGATGTGAAGTGTCATACGGTAGACATGCAAGGGCTGCCGATTTCCTTCCACTGTCTTTGCAAAAAAAAAAAAAAAAAAAAATTGTGAAAACATTTTCAACACTGAATTAAGGCATCTGCATTAGATTTATTCAGGTGATATTTATAGTCATTTTATTGATATTCAGAGTTTATTGATATTCCTTGATGCCCCAGAATGGTGATTCTACATCTGCCTTGTGATTCAGTACTTAGAAATATATCATGTACCCGTCAGTGAAATGAATAACAGCACATTGCAGCAAAGACCACAAACTCTCCTTCGGACAGAGGTCCCGATGACCTGTCACACTCTCCAATTTGAAACGAGGATAAGTAAGCCAAGACAGCAGATAGAAGACTAAACTTGGTTACATCTTATCAATGCCAAACTTGAAGGGAAAGCAGTACATTCTTAATCACGTGTCCTGTCTTCTGGTAAAGAACAAACAACCTACTGACCATTTCAGGTGGCAACCGGTCTCTGAAAATATAATATAAATAAGATTTCATATGTATGTTCAATGTACGGAGGGAGGTGGCGGAGTGGGAAGATCACGGGTGTGGGAAATACATTTTAGGAGTTCCTGTTTCACGTACTATCCTGCGATCTGAACCATCATCCCCAAATCAAATTTTGGTAGCCCCGTATAATAACAGTAACTACATCACTTATTGTTTACTGATTATTTATTGAGGTTTGTAGCTCATATGATTTTACATGTGATTGTACAGAGCATTTTGTTTTTTAAAAATAAAAAAGATGAGAAGGTTGTACAAGGAAAAAAAAATCCAAAAGCTTGTAACCTGGTAGCTGTTTTTGATAAGAATAATGCCATGTGGGAATAATGACAATCCTAAGAGACCAGAGCTTCAGCAGCTCTGTTTTTCGTTTCTGAATGTGATTTTTCTTTTATCAGTAAGAAATAGCTAAATTAGTTGTTAGTTTATTAAGTGAACTACTGTTTTTTCAAAAGATATCTTGATTTAATGTTTGGCAAGGGGAATACGATATGGAAGAACTTTCAAATTTTCTGTCCACTTCCAATGCATTCACAGAGGTCAAATGGAGGGAAATCAGCTCGATTCTACAAATCTTGATTTTATGGTTCACAGCAAAGATCAGTGTTAGAACACACAAACAAATGAGGCTTATTTATAAACGAACACATTTTAATTATCTACAGCTGTTTCAAAACACATCACTTTTTTTTTCTCAAGAATGGTAAAGAAAATCTGCACTTTCAAATGAGGTGTGAAACCCAACTTTAAATGCCTTTTTCTCATCTTTCTTGATTTAAAATGTCATTCAAAACACCAGTCAGGGTGAGAACTTGAAATTCAAAAATATCCTGGAAACTAGGCAGTTACCAGCAGACAGGAACACTGCATTCTAACTGCCAATGTTCGAGATCTTTACCTACTATTAAGGGTTGTGAGGGTTGTTAATATACTAATTTTGTCAAACATCTTTTTAATATCAATCAATACATTTCATGTTGGAGTCAGGTTTGTTTTGCTTGCTTTTAACTTTAAGAAGAATCAGAGGACTTTTAAAACTTTGAGAGCTATTTTAAGTTAGTATTTTTAAAAGTATTTCTTTTCAATGTAGTTTGACTTTTTTTCTTTCTTGGGCCATTGAGACAAACTTAGCCCCTTTAAATGTAAAATCCTGATTCCTGATTTTGGATAAAAATTTTACTAACTTCTTCCTTAGATCAAAGAGAGTAGCATTATGAATGACAATGCTTAAAGTAGATCCTTAGAATTTTGTCTTCTTTCAAGTTCTTCCCTTTAGCATTCTAGAATGAGAGAAGCATTGGGATATTTTTAGATGCATTTACATTATGGAGTAGTTTGAAATCCCCTGTGTACAACTGTCTGCAGAATTTTGTGAATTGACTACAATAATTAGAGGACTTGAGTATAATAATTTCAGTGGTGTAGTTATTTGTTCATTCTAAATGAATTATTTTATAACATGAATATTGCCTAGCTATGAATTATTTGCACAATGTACATAACTCCAATATAGTATTAATTTAATGTTTATTAGAAAGATTCATAATAAAGCTCTAAAAGGTACAAAGCTACTAGAAGCATTCACTGTGTTGGTGTACAGTAGTCATCGGATTAGAGAGAGTGAAGGTGATTTGAGGCAAAATAGTTATATTTTAGAAACATTTACAAAATATTGATATTCTTTTAAGACAAGGATAGCTAGACAAGACATATCTAAGAAGTGCTAAAAGTGTTTACTGTTTTCTTGGAATATTAACAGGATGAAATTATAATATGGGAGTCTGCAATTTTACTTTTTTGAACAAATTAGTAGTGTTTGGTACAGTGTTAAAGAGTTTTATCACATAAATGATTGTTTTTTCACAATAACATTTTCTCTCTAATTCAAATTTAGGGCTTTCGCCTCAGCATAAATTTGCCAACTTGGTTCTGTTCGTCTGTTCATATTGTTAATTGAAAAGACTTATTTTATCACAACACAGGCTTTGTTCATGCACACTTTTCTCTGACTTCTCTAGATAAATCAGTTTCTATAAAGCTTTGAAATACTCCAGTGGGATTCAAATTATCAAGTAAGTAAAACAAAGCAACTACTAAGAGACAGAAAGAAACATTGAAATATACTTGAAATCATGACATTTGAACAGTAATTTAAAGGTGATCGACGTTAAAGAAATGCTGATTTTTTAATTCTTTAGAAAAGGACTAGCAATGACTGCATCAAGTGAAACTATGCAAAACTACTTAAACATTTTGCAATAATTATAAAAATGCCATTTCTTCTGAAATCTTTAATCAACATCAATCAGAAGGCAAGTAAGTACAGAGGTGAAAGCTAAATTGATTTCCCCTAGAGAGTGGACACACAAGCCAGGTAAATTAGCATATAGGAAAGGCATCTTTTATGGTCCAACAAGAAAAGAAGCAGCTAACAATACTTTTGACTTCTGCTAGCTGCAAGTGAAAATGTAAATGCCTAATATTTTTCAAAGGGATTAAGACAAACGTATTTGCTGGTTACAAGAATGAATTTCCTGTTGGGACTTACTGAATCTATTCCAACATTTCAAAACAGGTTCATATATGGAATTTATAATCTGTTTTACTGTACAGATTCTTTGCTTTTGTGCCTATGTCATCTTTTCCATGTGTAGAAATCAAACATCAGGCACAAAGTAAAACTGAGAAATACATAATATTTATTTATGTGATGAATTACATTACTAAACATTAACTAATTAAATCTTAATATCTTGACCTACAAAAAGACTAGGAGATACATACATGTTATTATTTTATCTCAATATTTTTGTTAGAGGACATTCATGCCAATATCTTTATATATGCTTAATACCACATGAGATTTTGAATTTTTCTTCCCACTCTCTAAACTGAAAGTGATGTGCATTTATTTTTAATTGTTTTCAAAAATATTCTAATTAGATTTGTTTTTCCAAAATATTTGAGTTAGTACTTTAATTCAGTATACTTTAATTCAATATTGATGGGCAACTTCAAAAAACCAAGTATTCATTAATAGGGGCTAAATGTAGTTTAGTCCACAATCCATCATCAGGCAACCAAGAACTATTTTTGTTGTTGTTGTTGTTTTTGGTCTATACATTAATAGAAGGCCAGCCACATATATTTTCAGTTTCCATCCTTAAGTAAACTAGTCAGTGGATTTGAACATGTGTAAGAAAAAGCCGAAGGTATTGTCTAAAAATAGTGATATGGATCCTTTATAAACTTTGCCTATTTTTTGTATATTTAATTCCATTTCATGAAAAGATTTATCACATCATAAGTAAATTAAAGTTTAAATTTTTTTTACTCTGTTAATGCTCTTAAATTATAGTGGGAATCTTAAAATACAGATGCAAAATTGTGTTTTACCGTCATCATGAACTTTTTTGTATGGGATGTTAAGGGTATTTCTATCATCTGTTTTGTTTTACACTTTTTTTTCTAATTGTTTACATTTCAAAATAATGGCTCTTGCTTCTGTTTTTGGTACCATTATAAATATTTTAGCTTACTATATTACTTCTACTCTGTCCAATTTTAACAGAGTAGAAAGAAAGACGGATGCTCATAAGGTTTAATTGAAATTTCAACCTAGTTCTCCACAAAATTTGGATTTTTTTTGTAAATTTTGTCAGTTGCAAACAAAGGCAACAAGACTTCAGAATCAATTAACATGATGTCTATCTGCTAGAGTCTTGACAAAATATTCTGACCTAGACTTCAGAAAAAAATGTGAAAGATTATACAATTTTCTTTTATGAGGTCCAATAATTGGTATGTTTCAGAGGTATCATTTTCCCTTCTAGTAGGTTGCATATGCTCATATATGCTGTGTCTGCTGGATGTAAATTTACTTTTTAATGGAAATTAGATAAATATACATAAATATGTTGGTAAATATTTCATGAATGTCAGAAGGCATCGAAAAACTGGAGTCAAACAAAAGGTACTACAAAGAAGAAAAAATTAAAATTATTAACACATTAGCAGAGTTACATGGAAAGGCATGTGGGGGAAAAAACTCAAATTTGGGAATTCAGCTCTTGCTAGTAATACCAGGACTAAATGGATATATGTTACATATATACAAATTTATGTTGAAAGTATGCACCATTAACTACTAAATCTACTGTTTTGTTTTCATTAGAGTAACACAACCTTTGAAAGAACAATCTCTCCCTGGAAAAATCTTTGGGATCTTAATTTCCTCTGAAAACATACCAATTATGGCATGAAAGGTCAAAAATCTCCCCCTTCCACTTGAGTAAGAGCTTGGCAGTAGTTAATAGTACTGAAAGGTCTTCTGCACCGATTTACATATTCAAGTGATCTTTCCTTTACTTGGTTTGTGTAGAGCTGGGGCAGCCTCTTAGAACATTCCATACAATGAAACTCAAAAGATCACAGGCAGGGAGGTAGCAATGTCTGAAAATCAGCAAGCTGAACTGAGGTAGTTTCCCCACTGTTTGTGAAACTATCTTCTTACTGAAAAATTTGCTGCTCATCAAATCAGACATAATCCACAGACAGCGTGTGTGTTCTGGATATTTCTTAAACATGTTTCTTGCCAGGTGCCAACATACCACACTGTGGCATAAGGAAACATAATTACTGCTAAAGCTTGTGGTTCTCGTCCAACTTTAAAAAACATATGAACTTTAAAAAAATACAAATGACTAAAAAGGAACGGAGTGTAAAAAATTTGGAGATGATGTAAAGATTAAGATACACTCTAGCTAGAACAAATTTCATCATATATTTTCAAATTATGTATGTATTATATGTGGCCATTCTCTAAGATACTGTTTCTCATTTCAATGTAGATATTCATTATAGACTGAGATGTGTGTAAATTTTTGAAAAAACAAAGTCTCAAGATATACTAGAAGAAAAGTTGTAAATTGGCAAGTTTACTTTTAGCTTTGTCTTAAAAGGAGCCTCATGCTTGGACACTGCTGACAGAAAGTCTGCAATAACTGGAGATCTAGAGAAATTCTCTATTTCCTCTTTATATACACCAGCAACAAAAACCTAGCACAAAAGCTGTGTTACACTGTCCTTTACAACAGGCTTTCTTTTTAGCACGATTTTTGCGGCTGATAGTCAACTGGGTGAATTTAAATATTTCCTTTTTCCACCATAATGAAATGTTAAAAAGAGGGAATAATATACTCCTTCCTAAATACATGATATTTAAATATTCAGTTGAACCTGGCTTTTAAAACAAACATACCTACTATAGCTGATATATATATATATATATATATATATATATATATATATCATAGTAACCTATAAGTTAACCTGCTTGATAATAATTTATGCATTTTGCTTAAACCAATATAAACATTTCCATTCTATTTTTTCTAGTGTACGTTGTTTGTAAAAATTGCTTCATTTTGTGCTTAGTTTATTCATTGCGTCAGAATTATTATTTTTTTTTTTGCATGGGTCATGTGGGTTGTAGGCAATTAGCAAATATACTGAAAATGGAAAGAAAGACGAGAAAAGTGAAAATAATATAGTACATACATCAATACAATATCTTCTAAATCTCAATCAGTTGTTTATTGGTTGGCAAACAAGTTTCACTTTTACAACAAATATTAGTAATGAGGTCATCCATCTTTGTGACCATACAAAATGGATCGTAAATTTTAAAAAAAAGTGTATGTGCTGCTAATTTACCACTTGTATTCCTACATACTTAAAATCCTGTCAAATAAATAGTTTTCTTGTTAATAAGCAGAAGCTTTTTTAAAACTGCTTAAAATAATTTGTGTTCCAATTTGCACTACAAGGGAGAGAATTCCGTCCAAACATTGGTAGGACAGGTACCCACGTGGGGTTGAGACTAAGCATTCATCACTTTAAAGCCTATGGGATATCATTTTTCACATGCAAAGGCCTCTTCAGCTCTACAGACCTCCGGAGTCATAGCTACCGTCTTGGTGATGAACTGCTCGCCAAATAAGCTTTGCCTTACAACAGAGGCGCCCTGTAAACATAACAGTCCGTCCTGCTCTAATTTAAAAAAAAAAAAAAAAATGCTATTTGACATATTCTGGCTGGGTAAAGATATATAGTGAGGGAAGGAAGTCTAATTTTATTTATTTTATTTTATTTTTTGTAAAAAATAATTTGTTTGCATTACTAGAAAATGATTCTTATAAAGTGATAGTTTTATTTATTCATTCATTTATTTTTTGCCAAGTGAAATTTTAAAGGAAAAAAAAAAGGTAAAAAGAAAAAAGAAAAGAAAAAGAAAATGAAAGGAAGGAACCTTTGCTCTTTTCCTGGTAGACAAATTTGCAAGACTAGCACGAAAAAAAAATTTTTTTCCCACTACATTAACAGGACTCAAATTCTGCAGAACAGAAAGCAGACTATGTGTGCAATGCTAGTATCTGTACATTACATAGAAATTGTTCAATGTTTTTCTGCCATTAGTTTTATCATCAGTTAATACAGCAAGTCATAAAATATGCATTTAGCATATAATTCTAGAATTCCCCTCCACTTCGTTATTGATCCTGCTGTTGGGCGATCCACAGTGACTCCTGCCGTGCGTGACCGTAAACCACTGCGGGCTGCAGTTTCGCTTTGCTCTGGGCGTGCCCGCAGCGCTCCGAGCTGCACGCGGCCCTGGACCCGTCTCAGGCCGTCCTGCTGTCCACTCGGGAGCTGCTAATTCTAGTGACAGAGCATCAGAGAGGGCGGAACCACCACGGCAGAGCTCCGCGAGGCCACAGGGGCGCGCGCTCTTCGGGTCTCCTTCATTAGCATAATGAAGTCTCCCTCCCCTCCGAGGGGGCAAGGGCAAAAAAGATGGGGCTCAAGGGAACCCCAGCAGTTATCTCTCCCCTGGGCTGACCTCAAAAATCCCAATTTAAAAAAAAAAAAAAAAGGAAGGCAAGAAAGGAAGAAAGAAAAAAGAATGGAAAGAAAATAATAATAATAATTAATAATAATTAAGTCTCAGAGTTCCTGTCTTCGCAGCACGCCAGCGGGAAGGTCGGGGTGCACCGGGTCACGCCGCGTCCTCAGAGGCTGGTGACCAGGTGGGCCGGGGGCGCCCGCGCGCCCGCGCTGCCGTCCGGGGAGGCGCCGTCCTTGCCGGGGGGCGCGATGAAGCCGTCGCTGCTGCCGCGCCCCAGCGGGTAGTAGGCGTGCAGCGGGGCGCCGTGCGCGCGGGCGCCCAGGTTGGGCATGCTCTTGTAGTACGCGTCCTCGGCGGCGGCGGCGGCGGCGTCCGCGCCCCGGGCGGCGGGGGGCTCGGGGTGCGCGCGCGCGGGGCCGCCGTCCCCCGAGGAGGGCGCCCCCGCCAGGGCCGGCAGGCTGGTGCAGAGCGGGTCCCTGGCGGGCGAGGGCAGCTCCTCCGTGTGCTCGTTGCTCAGCAGGGGGAAGAAGCTCTCGCTGTGGTCCTGGGGGAGCCGCCTCCGCGAGAAGTGGTGTGGCTGGTGGTTCTCCGCGGGGTACACGCGCGGCGGCAGCAGGGGCGCGTCCGACTCCTCGTGGATGAGCTCCAGCCCCAGGCCCTCCTCGTGGGTGAAGGACGTGGCGTCGTCCAGGACGATGCTGTCGTCTTCGCCCCCTCCGCCCAGGTTGTTGACCAGCTTGTTCATCAGATTCCGGTTCTGCTCGCTGGAGCGCTCGTGGTTGTTCAGGTAGGAAGGGATATAGTTGGACGTGAGTTCCTTCAGAATCTTTTTCTCTAGGGCGGTCTCGTTATGGGTATAGCCTCGGTCTATGATTTGCACACAGTTGCTCAGGTACTCGCCACCGGCGATGCTGTAACTATTGCCATGGTTACCATTCAGTGGTAGAGTATCCATGACACTTGTATCCCTGGCATTGTTCAGAAGCCCCTCTGAAAAAGATGACAAGACACTATGACATGGATATCCAGTAGGCCATGGGACACACACGCATACACACACAGAAGCAAACACATTCATCGACTATGAAGTATGTACATGTTGCTAGTACTCTAGGTATTAAATCTTTGGAGAGAAACAAAAATACTATTAAATCTGTAGGCAAATATCCATATCTATGTTATGATCATTGGACAACTGATTGGAATTTTACAAATGGAAGCAAAATATCTAAAATAAATCTTGAAGTCTCAAAAGCCTATCCATTATCGATTGTCAATTTCATACAAATGTCTGTAGTTACTTGGTTATAATTTGAGCAAAATAGTACAAAATGTTGGTGTAGTCATTCATAGCTTTCAATATATACGTATGAAAGTTAATTAAATACTGTATCTCATTGCTTTAATTTTACATGGTTAATTAAAAAGCTATAACATTAACATAATTTATGTGGGTAATTTGAATAGGCAGGTCAAGTAAAACAAATACTCTAATAAATTGTTATATAATTTTGTGAAATTAAAAATAATCCCTACAAAAAAAAACCAAGAGGATTAGGCTAAATTTGGCAAAATAATGTAGTCATGAAATAATGCTTCGTCCAATAAATGCCAGATCAAAAGTTTATGCACAGAAACTTTCAAAAGTATCTGAATTTACTTTCTAATTTTTTTCTGCTATAAGCACTTTTTTTTATTGTGAAGTTAATCCATTAGTGATTGTGTAGAGACATTAGGTAGTACTACACGAAACTGCATAAAAACACAGAAATTTGATTCCTAAAAATGCAGTGTCAAGGCTGAGGATATAGCTCAATGGCACAAAGCACTTGCTTGCCAAGTGCAAGGTCTTGAGTTTGATCCCCAGTACCAAAACAAAAAGATAAAAAAAAAAATAGTGTCAGAACGAAAGCTACCATTTTATATTGTGTGATGGTTTGGGGGTATATCAAATTTTTAGTTTAAAACAGCATAAACATTTTATTCTGGTAAGAAAGAGCTGCATTAAAACAAATTTGACCGTGTACTTCTTCAAGGTTTTTGCATTCCCTTGAACAAATAGAAATTTAAGAATCTATAACAGTTTCATAAATCACTTCAAATGCAACCAAAAATACACATTTAACCATTACTGCAAGATAAAAAAGTACTTCCTTATAGAAAAATTCTCAATACATTGCTAAACTTGTGAAAATACAGCACTCATTCTATATCTGTGATGCGGTTGTGTTCCTCATAATTTGACTAGCTCAATTCTAGTTTAAATGCGGTGTTGCATACTGTCAAATTTATAGGAATTTATGATGCATACTTCGTATTCAGGGTACACAGATTTCAACAAACAGCCATCACAGACATAGGTTGAAGCCATTTATTTTCATGTTACATTTTATACACAAATCCACAATGTTAAGAAGAAAACAAAAAAGTAAATGCCTTTTAAAGCACTGTGTGTGATGGGTGGGTGATTGCTACTGCAGAGGCTGTATGGTAAGCTCAATGATTATGGTTGGGTGGCTGATGCATTGAAACATGGCTTCTTTTTATTTATTTATTTTTAAAATTTCTGTTGTCAATGCATTAGGTACAGACTGAAAATAGCCACAGTAAAATAAAGTGGGTATGCTGCAGGTGACACATTGTTATGATGGAATATACTAATAAAAATTAAAAGTTTATGAATTACTTAGCAAAAATAAATGCTTAATTTAAAAACAATTTAACTCACACAAACATTACATGAGACTTAACAACTATGTTGATATGTGACAGAATAAAAGAATCAGACAACAAAAGCGTCTAATCTCTATTAGCATATATTTAAAGAAGTTGATTTGTAAGTTCTTTAGTTTTTAAATTGTGAGATGAACTGTTTTTAATAACTACATCATCTATATGTGATGCAATAAAAGTGAACTAAAAAAAATTACATTTGATATGCAATGTTTAGCTTTACTCCCATACTTGTCTCTCTGTAGGGCTCTAAACGACAGCATGAAGAAAAGGAAAGAAAAAACAACAAGTAAGCTTACAGCGACAGCAGGAGAAACATGAGTAAAAAGCAAATTGATGATATGCAGAAAAAAGAGTCAAAGGAAATAATTTCCACTGCCCCAAAATTCATGAATCTGTGTTACATGGTTCATCATAATTAAAAATACTCAAATGTTAGTCAGAAAATAAGAAATTCCCCTTAATACATGCTAATGTAAGACTTTAATTAGCATTTCTGCAGTTTGTAAATTTCAAACAATTACACAATTATATTACACTTCAGTTTACCACACAAACCAGAGAATGGAAAAAGCAGGTGAGCTGGGCCTATCTCCACTGCTATTTTTCAACGGTATTTGTAGGCTGTTAGCATATACCTGCTTGCAAGGGATGTCGTGTAACTTTGGAATTTATTAATAAAATTATTAATAAAACCTTTAATGTGAATGCCAAGAGAGAACCAGAGTCAAAGGTCCGCATACTTGTGTTCATTCTCTTCCCCTTCTGTTTCTTGTCTTTCCCTGTGCAAACGTTATTTTCCCCCACTGCACTTGGACACCTGTTGTGTACCATATCTACTTAAAACTTGACCGACATTGGCATTTCTGGAGCTCATATTCAGGAGTTGTATGACTACAGAAGAAAAAATGGTTAAACCCATTTGCTATTCTGTATCAAGATAATGTGGGGAAAATACCATCTTCAGTATCAAGTTTTTTCTGCCGGAAGGCTACACCATTGTATGCAATCAAACATTTTGAGATTTAAAAACAACCCTAGAAAAAAAAATATTTGAAAACTAAAACATATTGTTATCAGGTCGAAAAACTTCTCTTGATTTTGTTTATAGGAAGGTTAAAATATAACAACATTGAAAACCAATGGATTCACCGGGCCAGATCATTTCAAGGCATCCAAATCATTATACTTTGACCACTGCTTTAAAGAGTCAGTTTTACCTATGTGCTAAAGGTTGATTTGCTTCTCAGCAGAAGAGGCCTACATGGTTCAGAATTCAGAGGGACTCGCTTTTTAGCTTGCCAAATAGTTTTAGAGTAAGAATTTGAAATAAACAGCCAAGCTGTTTATCATCAGATGAAAATGCCTGCAGGATCACAGTGGCTTGTCCTTCAAATGTGATTTTAGCACCTAGGAAATCACGGAAGTTCATTTCTCACTTGCCTGAGAAACAACAGCCTGTAGAGGTTAGTGCCTCCCTGGAGAAGATCAGAGCTGGGATAAAGAACGAAGTCGTCCAGCCTTCACCCACTTCATTTCAATCTCCCCTTCCTATCGCCATAGGCTGTGAAAGCCATTAGAACCTTAACTTACATTCTTTATAGTTTCATGTTATATTCTTACCAACTGTCATGTATTCTTTACTGTATCTCACCCTATGGATGTTTTTAAAGTTTTAGAATTGAATTAAATTACTTTGAAATGTAAATTTATTTTAGTAGACTCGACTTCTTATGTTCTGTTGGCAGGTTTTTCTGTAATGGGTCATAGTTTCACCAAAATTGAACTTCTAATACTGATGAGAAGATAATGATCCAGAAATACTCGGTATGAGATGTTAAATATTTCCAAAGATAGACTATGAATTCAATATAATATTATTCTTTTTTTATTTCTAACTCTATATGCTTCAGTAACACTCTATACACATCTTTACATATTTTAAATAAAAGCATTACAAGCAAGAATAGATACTTTAAATCTGAAGGTATTTCTATGCCTGGATAGCACTGGTATAATTGAATTAGAAAGCACACACAACACAACCAAGTGGTAGCTGAATATAAACCACTCCAGTACATACCGAGCCAACTATATGTCATGCAAGTTTTCACCTTGCCAGTAAGAATATAAGCATTCATCTGAAAGCATAAGATTAGTAGCAATATGACAATCACCAATATTTATTTTAGGTCAGTGTTAAAAGATTATTTTCTTTAAGCTCTACCATGATTAGTGAAAAATAATAAACGTCAAATAGCTGAACAATTCCAATTCAGATTATGAAAAAATTAAAATATTTTTTAGTATTTGCATTTCTTTTAAAGTCAGCATTTATTAAATTTGCTGAAACAAATGACAAATCCCTTTAGACTAATTTTTTATTTATTGATAATCATAATAGCAATAACCAGTAATGGGTTCCATAGGAATAAAACTCTTTATGTGTATGCTATCATTTTAAATTTTGCACTGTGATAATTTTATTTAAATACTTTTATACAAGTGATCCATCTTTCAGAAGTCTACTTTTGGATATCAGTAAAAATAATGTAAAATGAGGCAGATTGAAGTAGTGAAAATGTACAACTAATATTCTTTTTTATTATATAAGAAATTACAAAATATATCTGAAAGTCAAAATTGTGACCAAAGTTTCTTACTTAAAAATAATTACCAGCAACTCTGTTTAAGGTGAATAACATAAAGTACATTTAACTTTCAGAAAAGGTACAAGTCTTCCACAGTATTCAAAATATACTAGTAGATCAGCACACTTTAAAATGTTTAAAATGACACATTTGCCTGGTATTTGGCTAAAGGGAAATAAGGGGGGAAAAAAGTGTTTTTAAGCTCTACTCAGTTACTCTGTTTTAAGCTGTCTGATGCGCTTGTTATGTGCAATTTAGAGTCCCATGACTGAGTCAGGATGTTGAAGGATGAAACAGTACAGAATGGATTCCCATGAAAAAGAACTCAGAAAATGTCTCACACTGATGCTGCTGGTTTTGAAGGAAATAGGAGAGCAAAGGAAAAGATCTGATTCCAGTATTTACAGGCTTGCCAGGAGAAGAGTGCTTCCCGGCTTTCCTCTCTTGCTGTAGAAACATGGTAAGTAGCAAATCCAGAGGAATCTGTAAAACCCCGGAGCATTGCAACAGTGAAAAACGGGAGATGCTGAGGGAGGGGGGGCCCATTAAAGCCATACTAAGTCCAGGCTACACAATGTCATCACGATAGTAAAGACGATTTAATGAGGTTTTATCCCTCCTATTGTAAAAGTCTGTGATCTGAGATATGCAACTTCAAGAAACTTGAAGAAATTAAAAGTTTGCTGAATTATTTTATTGTGTTGACAAACTTTGTTTTTGTTTCTTGTCTTTTCCTTACAGGATCTTCTTATGCAGTTTAGACTGGCCTCAAACTCTCAGGGATCCTCCTACCTCAGCCTCCCAAGTGCTGGGACTACAGGCATGCACCACCATGCCTGACCACAAACAACCAAATCCCTAAAATCACTTTTTCATCTATGACTCTGTTATTTCTAAAATAATTTTAAGCCATCTTTTTGTCTAGCAAAAGACCACTAGGGCTACTCATATGATGTGGGACAATTGCCATTCCAGTGGTCATGGGAAAAACATGATTTTTCTTTCTTTTTTTAATGGCATATTCACAGCAAGACTTCCCACCACTAATCTTTTACCTTTGACTGAAGAGAAAAAAATAACTGTCCACAACGGGTAATGAAAATTTTGCTCAAAATTGTTTGGAAAATGTAAATGCTGCCAATCTATCACATTCAACTTGCAAGGATCCTGGAAATCTTTATTACAGTGACTTTTTTTCAAGTATAATTTTAAGTAAGTGGATCATTGATCAGTATTATTCTTTAAGAGACTTAATGTTTGTGGTCTCTCTATAGATGCAGATGTAGGATACTATTAAATTTTTGTGTCCCTAACAAGTTTGTTATCTGAGAAAGGTAAAAAACAGGTTCAAGCATACTTATTTTGTAAGTAGCTTTAAAAAGACTTGTGTTTATTTTATTGAGACACAGGTATATGTCTTCTCAAGTGAGAGGACACTGAGAGGGCTATTCCACCGTAGAAAAATCAGATTTGTGAACTGCCCAGGGGTTATTGGTGATCGAAGAGGGACACAGTGCCTGGGCCGCTCCATCCAGGTCACTGATCTGCAATGCAGTGTCACTGTAACTTCTGAGTCTCTGTAATGTTTTCATCAATCCTGAGGCTTTGTGGGCAGAGGGTATTTCAGAATGTAATAAAGATTAGTTTTCTTGATCTTATACAATTAAGACTACTGAATCAAGTCTCTCTTTTTCTTACTTACCTTAGACAAGTATCAAAATAAACACTTAGGTATTTAACACAGAAATAAATGAACAACAAGAGGATTACTGACAAACCACAATACGTTTTATAACAGCACGGGAACAAACACATATTGATGAATCAGGCATTTGTTCATCAGAAAGAGTCCATTTCTGACTAATGAAAACCTCAGGAAAATGGAAAATAAAAGCCCCAAGGGGGTGGAATGTGAAAGTAGTCTGTGTGTCTGCTTCCAAAACAAAGGCAGGACAAAGCAAATAGAAGGTGCCCATAAAAGCTGCATAAAGTGGGACTCTCACTTGGAAACATTAAGGTAAACCGCAGCACACCTTGTGCGTTGTACATGCTGACGGAAGGGTTGTTACAGACCGCCGGTTCCCCAAGCAATGTATTATAGGGATTGTTAGTACCATGCGGACGAAGCAGAGCATTGCTTATAAGATGATTAGCCATGGCTCCTGGAACAGCCCCATAGAAAGACAGAGAAAAAAAGGTCAATCAGGCAAGTGTGTTTGAAAAAAAGAAAGGAAACATTTAGAATGACAACAGTTGATATAGTCCTGATTACAGGCAAGCAATTAAGACTAAAAATTATGCCACTAGAGCACACATTTCCAATAATGCACATACTGAGTCAATGGGAAAGAAGGGAAGTGATTTACGGTGTTGATTAAGCCACATTTAGGGTGCCGTCTTTCCCAAGATGTAAGCAAGAATATATTCTCATGCTTGCTAAAAGTAAAAACAAACATAAAAAAGCAAATCCTTTTATTCACACAACGAAACACAAACTGAAAGCCAAGGGGAAAAAAAAGGAAAAAAAGCTAAAATTAAACAAAAATATTTCCTCATTCACAGAAACCAATGCATTATTGTCAACGAAAATTTAAAAGAATAAAAGGCAACATTTATGATAAAACACTCATTTGGAGAGCAGTTGTTGACACAACAGAAGAATATGACATTTCTTAGAAATTCTATAAAGACAAATTACTGGTACTAAAATAAAATATCACTCATTAGTATTAAACATACTAATTTGATGACCTTACAAATATGACAAAAATCATATGGATGTTGTTTTAAAATATTTTAAATATTAACTTTATAGCATCAAGTAATACTTATAATTCCATTTTCCATTTTCCAACTGGTTGGTGAAACTTGACACAGCAAAATAGCAAAGTTAAACTCTTTCATACTTTGTGCAATATATATTCTTAGTGTACGACCTGCTGTTAATAGGATCTGCAACTTTCCATCTTCCAAAGCCATTTAACCAAGAAGAAAAAGTTTAAAGAAGAGATTTATTAAATGTAATTAGGTCATCTATGAAAATGATAGGCTGAATTGCATAATTATGTTAGATGATGAAAGAAGGAAATAAATATGCAAATTTTATGAGAACAGTTAATTTGGACATACACGAATACAATAACATATATATGTATACACATATATAAACAAATACATATATACATATGTATATATATAAATAAAGTGTATACACAGAAAATATTTGTCAAAAGTACAAATACTTGTCATTAAACAAAGAAAGAATATCTAGGCTACAGTAAGAACTTTCAAAAGTCAATACTAAAAAAATTCAATTGTAAACTGGTCTGAAAGAATAGACATTTCATGAAAAAGAACACACAGGTGGTAAGTTACTCATGGAAAGAACTGTTATTAGCCATTAGGTAACAGATTAAAACCACAATGAGATAAGATTTCATATATAAAATAAAAATGGCGAGATACTAAGTGATGTTATTCATGCAGAGAAACTGAATCACTCATAGTTTGCGTGGGAATGTAAACTAGTACAGCTACTCTGAAAAGCAGGCGGGCGGATTCTCCTAAAACTAAACATGCAAGTACCATATTCCACCAAGCAACTTCACTGTGCAGTTATCTAGAGAAATTGTTCATACATACACACACACAAAAAAAATCATTCACCGATGTTCATAGCAGGCCCATTTTCAAGAGCCACCAACTGAAAACAGACCAAATTTCCTTCAACTGGTCAAACTACGTGTAGCATAACTATACTGTGGAATACTATTCAGCAATGAAAAGATATAAATGACTGCTTTCTGGAAGCTAGTTGAATCTCCAAAGAATTATACTGAGAAAGAAAAGTCAACAACTAAAGGTTATATTCTATGTAATTGAATTTATATTAATCTTTTTTTTTGTTTGTTTGTTTGAGATAGAGTCTCGCTGTGTAGTTCAGGCTAGCCTTGAACTCACAGCAATCCTTGTGCTTCAACCTCTCAAGTGTATATAGCATTCTTGAAAGGAAACAATTATAGAAAGGGCAGAGGTTAAAGACAAAGGAAGGTATGTGTGCATTATCATAAAAGAGCAAAAGGAATCATCACTCTGATGACAAAAATAGAAAGCTATTTTATATCTTGAATAAGACAACCTACACAAACCTATTTTGTGAATAAAATTGCACGGACTAAACACATAAACACATGAATACAATTACCAATGAAATTGAAGAAATCTACACAAGATTGGTGGATGATATCAGCATGGGTATCCTGGGGTGATACTGCAATCTACTGTTATAAGATACTGAGGGAAACCAGATGAAACGTAAGCTGTTGTTATAGTTTTATGAACTGCATATAAATTTAGTAATCTGAAAGGACGTACATATTTACTCACTGATAGCAAATGCTTTTAGAATGAGAAGAAAACGTTTGTCTCTAGTAATGTTATTTTTTTTCTAAATTATAACATCTGTAACAGAAATGTATCAGTCAACAAACAAATCACAACAAAGTGATCACCTCTTGTTTAAGGGAAAACATAGCTTGACAGATCTTTAGCGTTAGAAAGTATCATTCTTTTATTTTCATCAGGAAATAAGGTATATGCATTCCTCTCATATATTCTGCAAAAAATAGCCTGCAACTAGAGCTAATTTTTTTACTTATTAAATGCTCGACATTTATTTGTTGAAGTTGTGCAACAGGTACAACTACGTGTTCCTAAGTGAGCTGCAGCTGCTCTATCCGTCATGGAAGGGGTCACTCGTGGGATGATTTGCCATCAATGAATTCAGTGTTTGGGATATTAATAACACAAGTTATCTGGGGCTTATTATAATGCTTTTCTCATAAGACAAGAAAATCTTAAGCCTCAAACATCTGTTTTATTCTCGTTGCAGAAGTTTTATTGTTGTCAAGGGTTTGGCCCCTACATCAATTTGAAAAAATATATTACCTTTTAGTTGTACCGGATATCTAATATTTATATTTATAGACTTTTTGCAAGTATAAATGAAAATTAGTTCTCAGATACAAGCAAACTCTTTCCAGAATTCAAAAGAAAAGCAAAAGGTATAGATTCAAGCAGTCTAAAACCCTAAAATAGAAGCTCACTCAGATTTTTCAGTCTGGGAAAATCTGAAGAGTTAAGACCTTCGTGACTCAGGCTTACATCTGCCTCCCCTGCTCTTCCACTTGTCTAATTTGAAATAACAGGAAAATAACAAACGCGGTGGGAAAATGGCAGGCCATTCTTTTTTGTTTTACACTTCATAGTTTAAAATGCAACATTTTTTGCTTGTGTACATGTAATTATGTAAGTTTTAAATTTGATGTAAAGAAGACAATTTTATAATAAACAAATTAGGAGGAAACAAGAATAAGCCCAAAGCAAATGACTCAATAGAAAAGTTCTTTATCATCCAGTTTAGAAGCAACAATATAAAGGAAGAACGATAATCATAAAACAGGAGTCTTAAAGAAATAAAGATGAATTTTTTAAGAGAAATTCTCATGAAGCTACAAAAGCTTTTTATAGGTAACTCATTTGGTTACTCATTTCCTAGTATAACATCCCTTATGAGTCTACTTTTTATTTAAATTTTTGAATGTAATTTAAAGTATTTTAACTGGTAAAACTATTAATGCAGAAAGAAAAACTGAGTTCTAAAGTTGAGTTTATTTTTATTCAATTTCTGCTAAATTAGAAAGTCTGGCCATATAGATACAATGCTCCTGGCATATAGCTAGGTGTTAGGACCCAGGGTGGGATTTGTGGAACGATATTCTGTCTCAGCTCCTTGGCTTTTAAGGTTGCTTGTGGACTCCTTCCTCATTTGTGCAATGCAGAATGAGGGCTTATTGGCTTCTATAAGGACCTGCAGTCACAATAGAAGGTCTTCTGCTGTTTGTACTAAAATCATATATACAAAAATAATTAAATTTTTATAAACAAAATGCACATTCTTCTTTATTAGACTTCTTTCCTGATAAACTAAAAAGAACCACTATGGAAAAATGAGCTGATTTTTCCACTGTAACTTCTTTTTAAGCACCACTTGAAACCAACTTTAGTTTCACAAATGCAGAGATATAATTCCCATGAGGGCTTCAGTAGCAAGCAAAAGAGTAGAAAACAGGGAATTTGATGATTAATGTTTTACAAAGGATATAAAGGTACAGATAAGCTCTATGGATTTGTTAGAATTAAAGAATAAGGAACACGGCTGAATAATCAAACTAACATCTCTTGATTGACTTAATCTAACATGCAAAGTCACATTTTGGCCTCTGAGTGCCGAGAAGGAATTCAAGGAGTCCTTCTTCCTGTCACCATCCACACAGGACAGTTTCTGGGAGGTATGGCCTGTGACCCTATAACCACACTCACATTTAGGCATTTAATTTCCACTTTTGAATGATGGCACTCACTGTCTGGGAAAAACAAAAAATGAGAAGACAGCAAAACATACTTTGCTGCCGATGTTTGGACCTTTTCACTAAACATTTACAGTCTTCACCACTTTTTCTCTATACTCTGAATTTCACTTGTTTTTCAAAGGAAATCTATTCTTTTTGCTTCTGGCTACTTCCCCAGTGGGCGCAGGTCACTTTGGTTTCTGATGCTGCTTGCAGGATTCTGTCTATGCTGTCTCTTCCTCTTTCTTCCAACTAAATTCTGATCTGCAAACTTCCCTTCTAACAGATGTGAAATTGCTGAACACTTCCAAGAAGTTGAGTGTTTAGAGGCCACCTGTCACTGTTTTTTAGCTGAACAGTTAAGCATATTGGATACTGAGTTTGGAGACACAAATAAGTTGATTTTTGTGGGGAAGGAAGGTACTTACGACACCAGATGTGTGAAAGGAATATTTGTGTGCTATTTTTTTTTTAACTTTGGGATGCCAGCTTCAGGCAAACTGAATACCCTGGGGTTTTTCATTTTGTACAGTAGTGAGTGCAAACCTCTGAGACCAAGTGTCCAAAATACAACCCTAAATCCAGTTATTTATCATAAAGTGCCAACCCTGCAAAATCCAAGCTGAATACTGAGGTTTTAGTTTAGAAAAAAACAACTCATGAATGAACATCTTTTGTCTTAAAAAGAAAAAAATAAACAAATAATAACATGGGTGTCATAGGTTTGCTACCACTGCTCTATACCAAATATT